AACAATAATTTTTTCTGTTGTTGACTGAATTAGCGTAATAGTTATGTTGTTCGAACAGAGATGAGGACAGAACAAAAATTAAACTTACTTGAATGCTTTGAATTTATGCTGTACTAGAGTAAATGGTATTGATGTTCAACGTACTCGATCGATCAATTATTATAGAAGAATATGATGAAGAAGGTAACACAAATTGGATACATTCTTATTTCATGTTTGCTTAACTAGTACATTGTTTCATTTTTATCAGAATGAATCAATATTTGAGAAAAAACTTGAAATAACTAACTTATTCAAAGATTCGTTACTATTAATGAGTTTCATTTAATTTATCTGGAAATACAAAATATGCTTCATCAAAATAGTGATTCGTTTTAGATAACTAAACATGTTTTTGTTTTTCCGATGGAAGTAAAAGTTTGAGCTTTCCTCAATTTCGAGTAATTTCGCATGAAGAAGATATGTCACCTTATTTTGAATGTGTTAGAAAATTGAAAAGAAAAAAGAAAAAGAATGAATAACATTTTAAAATACGAAATCAATAAGAATACAAATGACTATTGATGAGTATTGCTTATGTGTTTATATTTTATAGAACTTGTATTATGTTGTTCGAAGAAAAATATAGTCAATATAAATTTTAAGTCAAGGTTTTGCGTCTCGGCTCCCGTCTTCATAATAATATGGATAGGGTAGAAAGATCAATGATTATTGAGCCGTTTCCATAGTAACCAAGGGCAACAGACATCAGATGGCTTTTCTAGGGTTCTTTAAAAATTTACTTAACATATTTTGTATAAGTATCACATAGCTGTAAAACACGTGTGAATTACACATTTTAATCCCAAAAGGTTTGCACTAACAAATATTCTTCATATTTTCTATTCCTAATTTGGCATTCATATCGAATAATGTTAAACATAGCGCTATTTTTCATTATAATTGTGACATGAGCAACTCACAATAAGTGTCAAGCATAGTTAATGACGATAAAAACTATGCAAAAACACTAAAGAAACATTTATGTAAACACTTAGGATCAACTTGTGCGTTTTGTCATGTTTTAATCTTTGTATTCTAGTCAATTCACATAGATAATAAGTTCACATTTCGTGCTAGCAAAACTATATGGTAATCTAGTATCTGTATGTCTTGGGTCATTTAATTGATAATATGTTTACCAAAATTTGACATAGAATAGAGTGTCTGGGTCATTGAAGATTATTAAAATGAATAGGAAAAAAGAAACAAATTCTACATATGAATTCTAGAATAGATAAATTTCCAGATCACTGAATCAGATTATAGTTGAATATTAATTAAAAACAATATTTTCATAAGAAAACAACATACCCTGGTCGATTTTTGACTGGTAACCAAACACTACCAAGTGCACATAAAAATCCGGTCATATTTGCCCATTCATGAAAAACGTCCTAAAACAAGAATTCATAGAATTATTTTTTTTTTTGTTTTTATTTTTTTATTTTGAATAACAAACTTCAATATCATGTTCACTTGAATGAACTCCAGTTCGCCTTTTACCAAATTTTCCATATCCACTGCCAACAAAACCACTTGTTTCACTTGCACTAACTGATGGTGAACTAGCTGTTGAACCTCCACTACTCAAATCATCAACTCTTTTTGGATAAATAGCTAAAAATTTAGCTAAATGTTGTTGACTAACAAATGTATCATACCAAGCTTGTTTATTTCCAGGTGTTGCATATTCAATACGTCTTAATAAAGAAAGAATTTTTTTTTGTAAAGCATTTCTTCCAGTCGTAACTAATGTTGTTGATGCTGCTGATAACTCCATATAAATATTATAATTAGGTAATAGTGTTAATACAGCTGTTTCATCAAAACCAAAACGAATATCAGCTTCATACGCAAATAAAGCAAAACATGACATAGCTATTTTAACAGCTTCAGGATCAATTGACCATAAATAAATAAAAAAAACAATTTCAAGTTTTGTATGTGCATGTTTAGCCATTGGAATATTTGAACCAAGATAAGCATTATCTTTATGATGTAAAAGAAAAGCATTACGTAAAACAAGAATTTCTCGTAACCAACGTAATACAGATGTATATTCATAAATTTGATGTAAAACTAATTTTTGTGATATTGAAAAAAGTACTTGACTTGATATTGACCAAAATGTATTTATTGATGCTTCCGGATTCCATAATTCAATATGTCGTGTTTCATGTAAAACTAATAAAGATTCCATAGCTGTATGAGCAACATCTGGCATCATTGATGTATCATGTACAAGTGATACAAGACCATTTATTAATTCAAATGTTGACATTTGAGTTTCATGATCAAGTTTATTTGGATTATGTAACATTAAATATGGATCAACAATTATTAAACGTACAATCCATAAAAGTAATTCACGATTATTTGGTCCTTCATCATAAGCTAAACGATCTGATGTTTTTGATTTAAATGCTTGAGAATATTGTGAACGTAATTGTTGTGGATTAAATAAAATATCTTTTAAAGTACTAACACCTGTTATACCTGAAATTCTTAATGGTGTTGTTGAAAATGTTGATGATTGTGAAACTTTATTTAATGTATCTGTAAACATATTTCGTAATTCTCCAGCACGTGAATAAACAATATCAATTTGTGGCCACCAAGCTAAACGTTTTTGTGTTATGATTCTATAGAGTGCTTTAACAAGTACATAATGAAACATAGCTGGTGATGATAAATTTAAACAAACTTTTAAAACTTCATTATTATGTGGATTTAAACGAAGACAAGCAAGAAAAAATTCAATCATTAATTCTAAATCAAAATTAATTTTATCTTGTCCACGTGAAAATGGTTTTAATGGATTAAATAATATTTGTTTTAAATCACCAATAACTGATTGTACCATAACAAATAGAACATTATTTGAATCTTTATTATTAATATATGTTGCTGCTTTACATAATTTAACAAATGTAACAACAGCTGCTGATTCAGTTCCACCAGCTGAATGTTGTTTACCTAATACTTGGGCATGTAATTGACGTTTTAATGTATCAACAAAATTTCTTTTACGTAAATGTTCAGCTGAACAAGGACCACCTTTTTCTAATGCATAAACTAATTCTTCAAGAATAATTGGACATAAAACTAATAACATCATTTGAAGTGGCCAAACATATTGAACTTTACGACGATTTGCTTCACCAAATGAATCAAGTAATTCGAATAATTTTTCACAATTATCTATTTTTTATTTTTAAATCAAATTTTTTATTTTCTAATATAGAATTAATAAAACTTACCACTTAATTCAGCATTTGGTCGTTTTTGTAAATCAGTAAATTCTTCTGGATATGTGTCTAACCAATTCCATATAGCCTAAACAATATTTTTATTTTTTATTTTAGATTCATCTTGTTTTTATGGTTTTTACTTTTTCAACACTTTTAACAAGTTCTGTATGATGAATTTTTTTAAGTAATCGCCATTTTTGTACTTCCTCTGTTAAAAAGAAGAAATAATAATAAATTATTGATTGAATAAATCAGATTAGTATATAAAATATTTTACCATTAAGAAGTCTTGTTAATTTAAGCATATCAACATTCATATGTTGAATAAGATCAAGATCACCGGCATCATATGTTTCATCTCCAGATGCAATTAAGCATTCAAGTCTAAGAAAATATGAATCTCATTAAATTATTGAAAGTTTTACACTTTTATGTTAGTTATTAAATCAACAGTAAAATTTTAGTTTTATTTCTTTTCTTTTTTTTCTTTATTATTATTTTACCTTTATAAAAAAATAAATAAAAAATTTTCTAAATATGAATATATATCATCAAAAACAAGTTCCTGAAAGAAAATCTTTTTGAAATTTACCTTGAAACAACTTTACTAAAAAGTGTACTGAAATTGTTAACGCTTAATGCAAATAAAACATTCGAAGCAAGTTGTCGAACATGTTGAACTGTTATGCCATCACCGGGAACATTTAATAGCTTAAACAATTATGAATGAATTATTTCTTAAAGCACCATCATAACATATAATCTTACTTTACAAACTACAGGTAATAATTTATTGACATAAATAGCTTCATGTAATCGACTCGTGCTCAAATCTTTTGTCTTTATAAAAAACAAAAACCACAAAGAATCAATTATAACAAGGCTTAAAAAAACTAATAAATTACATTTGCTAAACATTGTTCAACAGCATCAAGTACAATTAAATATGATTCATAAATGTTCTTCTCTTGATCGAAACCCCCATATCTCTATTCAAACAAAAGTTAAAAAATCTTCTTTAAGTTAAAACAAAGTCCTACAGTATTATCAATCGTTTTTAAAATATCTGTAAGTCCATTAATAACAAGAGAAAATTTAAAACGACTTAAGGCAATTAAACATTCTTTATTTTGTTCTAAATTGAGACGCATTTGATTTGTCAATTCACCACATTTAATGGGTAACTAAAAAAAAAATTAATTTTTTATAAAGAAAAATAAATGAAATAAATTGGTTTTTTTAATTTACTTGATCTTCAAATCTTTCAATCAACGCTGAAACCCACTCGACAGGTTTAGACGTCGACATATTCGCTCTTTAGAAATAACTAAAAAATGAGAAATAACATCGACGAAGAACAAGAAAAAAAAGACCAAAAGATCATTGTTTCCGGCATACTGTAAAAAATAAGTGAAGATTCGCCCAGGAAAAAAAAAGACCGAAGAAAGAGAAAAAAAACGGAACATTCTTCCTTTTTTCTTTTTCTCTCGACATTTGTCTTGTTGATGGCGTTGATAAATACGACATAAGAAGAAAAAGTATGTTATATTATAGAGGACTGTTTTTAACCAATCAGAAATCTATGACATATGGATTGGACTTGCTTATTTATTATTTCGACGTTTACATTCCAAACATTGTCTTGGTTTTTTTTGCTTTTCTAAATTTTAGAAATATTTTTTTTTAAAAAATAAAGAAAAAAAAACGATGATGGCTAATCGATTAGTCGGTCTTCGTGGTCAACTTGGACGTTGTTTTAGTACAAGTGGTAGCCTTTTTCAAGCAACAACAACACCAAAATCACCTTTATCAACATCATCGGAATCAACATCAGCATTGATTCCTCCACCTATCCGTGTATTCGGTGTCGAAGGTCGTTATGCATCAGCATTATTTTCTGCAGCATCAAAACAAAAAAAACTTGATCAAATCGATGCTGATTTTCAAAAATTAGATAGTCTTTTAACACAACATAAAAGTATTGGCGATTTATTTCGTAATCCAGGTGTAACACGTGAACAACGTATGGCTTTAATTAAAGAATTAGGTGTATCTGATATGACACGTGCTACATTAGAAACACTTATTGATAATCGACGAGAAAAAAAATTAATAAAATTTGTTTCAGTTATGAATCGTTTAATGGCTGCTAATCGAGGTGAACTATCATGTCGAGTTATAACAGCTAAACCATTAGATGCAAAATCACGTAGTGAACTTGATTCGGTATTAAAACAATTTAGTAAAAAAGATGAAAAAGTTACTGTTGAAACAACTGTTGATCCATCAATTATGGGTGGAATGATTGTAGAAATTGGTGATCGTTATATTGATATGAGTATTGCAAGCAAAATTAAAGCTTATACAGAAATTTTGACAAGCAACGTCTAAAGACATATTTCATTTTTTCGATTTTTCTTTTCTCCTTCAAATTTACTATTCTATTGTAGCTTCTTTATTCTGTCATCTTCTAGAATAAAATCATTCAAAATAAGAAAAACAAACATTAAACTTATATTTGAAAATTATCAATATCGGTTTTTTTTTTTAGATGTTATTACGATCAACATTTCGATTAAACTTTTCTTCTCAACTATGGAATGCCTTACGTAAATATAACTAGATTTTGTTTGTCTTTTTATTTGTACAATCTGCGACTATTCTAATATAATTGAATTTGAGAGTTATCTAAGTAAATATTTGTTTATTGCTGATGACAATGGAATGAAACAGAATGTTAGTACGAAATTTCATAATAGTAGATACATACGTGAATGCTTTTTCCGTCACAATAACACATATTTACCTTTTTGATAAGTAATTTTTCTTTCTATGTAGATAATTACATGGTTTTATAGTTCATCATCATCACCTGTAGATGAGTTTTCATTAAAAAATGATTTTTTTTCTAGTAAAAGCAAAGACATTTCCCATTTTTGTGATCTGCACTCAAGTACAATAAATTGCGAAGGTTTTCATCCCTATGTTTTCATATAAATTACCAGTTTGAAGGAAAAAGAAGAATATTTCGAAACATGAAGATCTCTTTAATATTTGGGTCGAATTGCATCATACTACCAGAGAGAGTTATAGTTGATGGATGAAATCAACTAAATAAATTTAAAACTATTTGAAAGATCATTTTTTTTTTGTTTTGAATACATGTGAATCTTTAACAGATGCTAATATAATTGTTTAAAAAGTGAATTTTTCTTATCCTAGGTCGTTCAATGTTTATTCAATCTCAAGAAACTCCAAATCCAAATAGTCTTAAATTTTTACCTGGTCGTCCTGTTCTTGATTTAGGTGTTGGTACTCGAGATTTTCCTAATATTCAATCAGCTTATTGTTCTCCACTTGCTAAGTATATAACTGAAGATCTTTGTATTGTTTGTTTGAACTTTTTCTTCTTTGATTAGACAATTATTTCGTGTTGAAGGTGTTAAATCTGTATTTTTGGGTTCTGATTTTATAACAATAACAAAACAACATGATGATATTCAATGGCAAGTATTAAAACCTGAGATTTATGGTGCAATCATGGATTTTTTCACAACAAACTTACCTGTTGTCAATGACGATATTGAACCACCAGCAAGTAGTAAGCTAGTGCGTTTTATTTCTTGTGTTTTGTTTTTTTTGTTATATTAATTGAAGAGAAAAAAAAATAAGATAACTATATTATGTTATATTATTAATAGGTGTATCCTCTGAGGATGATGATACAACAGCAATGATTAAGGAATTACTTGATTCAAGAATACGACCAACAGTTCAAGAAGATGGAGGTGATGTAACTTTTGTGGTAAAGAGAATAAACGATATATTTTTAACAAAAAAATTCTTCTTTTTTTCCTAAGTCTTTTGATGATGGAATTGTTAAATTAAAATTACAAGGCGCATGTACATCATGTCCAAGTTCGATGGTCACATTAAAAAATGGCATTCAAAATATGTTACAATTTTATATACCAGAAGTTAAAGGAGTTGAACAAGTTAATCATTTTCTTAAGATATTATTTAATGTGAAAATTTTATTTGTTAAATTTTAGACAGAAGATGAAGTTGATAAAAAAGCAAAAAAAGAGTTCGAAGAATTTGAAGAAAAACTCGAACATGACGAAGATGAAGAAGAAAAAGAAGAAGCAAAGTCTTCATCAAAAAAATGAACTATTTTTCTTTTTTGTATTATACTTGCAATAAACTTGAACTCCGAGTTCGATATTAAATTGTTTTAATAAGTGAGGAAATATTCATTGTAGATTTTTAAATATGGATCGGTCATCTTCAGCCCTTCATTATCCTGATGTTGTCAGTCGATCAAATAATTCAAGTAAATTTTCTTTTTCTCTAACTTTATCGATACAATATTTCTTTTGTTAAAAGATTCGAAACAAGCCGCTAGTAATTATGCAGCTGGACTTAAAATGGCCAGGTAAATAAAAACATAATATATATATATATATACAAGGTGCCCAGAAAACTATATATGTCTGCTGCAATTAAACCTAATCAAATGGCTTTTTTCCTGGTAGTAGAGGAAATTGGGAAGTTTCTTTTTATAAATATTCCTGGAAACTATAAAATTCGGATCCAATACACAAAAAAAAGATTCTTTCTATCGAGTTTCAGAAAGCAAAATGGAAAGTTTCCTGATAAGTTGTTTCAATTTTTTCGTTACTTTGAACTTCTAGCCGCCTAGATCTGCTTGTCCTAGTTTGTTAATATTTGTGTATAATTTTTTTTAAAAATTACAAATATTTATCTGAAATTTGTTGAATGTGGAAATCTAAAGTTGTACTAGTTTTATCAGTTAACTTCTTAGCACAGTTTCTCATGAGCAAGATATGAATTGTTTAAGAAATGTATCAATTACTTAACATTTTTCAATAGTGCCATGCAAATATGTATAAATCGACAGACATCTCGATGCTGACAAGTCCAGTATAACGAAAAAAATCCAAAAAAGTCAACAGGAAGCCTTGTTTATAGATTTTCGCAACTCAATAAGATGGATTTTTTTATGTATTGAATTCGAAAGTTTTAGTTTTCAGAAGTATTTATAAACTTGAAGGTAATGAATAAGAAATTTCAAGTCTCTTCTATTGCTAGAGAAACAAGCCATTTGATTTTATTTCATTACAGTGGAGATGTGAGGTTTTCTTTTTTGATAGGTGACTTTTGCGGGTACCTTTTATTTGTTATAATTGTTATGCCTGTGACAGCTCATGATTCTGTAAATCGGTTCTTTTATTTTTTTTTGAGAACTGAATCCAGTGACCAGTTCTTGCCATATGAACTCAATTTACTGATAATGATAATGTATCAATTCTGTTCCGAACTTGTTTCAATTGTCAAAACAAGAACTGTTTACGATATTCAGTTTTCAAAATTGAATAAGTTCATAGATGTATGAGTTGTAACATGTCTAGAACTGGTATGTTCGAACAGTTCAGTTTTTTTTTGAAAAAAAAAAGAACTGGATGAGTGATACCAGTTTAGATTCTCGATCGCGAACTGTCATAAATTTAATTATTGTTGATGTTGTTTTCTTTTTTTTTTTTTTTTGTTTAGTCTTTTCTCAGAACATGTACTTCTCTATCCGTTAGATGTTCTTAGACGACAAATTCAAGTAAAAAAAAAAAGAATTGAAAATTTTCATATTCAATTTTACTTCTAGGTAAATAATGAAGCTGTTAAATATCATTTATCTCCAGTTAGTGTTTTCCCTGTTCTCTTTAAAATCTCAGCACAAGTAAAAATAAAAACTATTTTTTTTGAAAAATAAAATTTCTATTTGAATGATATTTTTAGGGTCCATCTTCGTTGTGGAAAGGAGTTCTTACTTCACTTGCTTATAATGGTTTAGTAGTTGCAACAGATAATTTTCTTCAAGATCTAATTCCTGTTAAAAAGTAAATAATTAGTTAATTATTTTTTCTTTTATTTGTTGCTTTTTTTTTTCCATTGTAGAAGTAAACATAATAAAACACAACAACTCCGTCGAGTTGCCCGTAATGTAGCTGTTCGAACGTATGTTTATTATTATTTAAAATAATTTATTTATTTATTTGTTTGTTTGACTTGATTTGTTTTTTAGAGCTGCTTATTTAATTGTCTCCCCAATTTATTATGTAATGCTTATTGAATCAGTTCAAAGTGTAAGTGCATCTGATGGTAATTTACTCGATGGTATACGAGATACACTTATTCGATTTATACCTTATTCATCATCACTTAGTATTGGTCGTAGTAAAATGTTACCTATATGGAAAATTCTTATTCCAACTGTTGGTCTTATGACAGGACGTTATATATGTGAGAAAATATTATATAAAATAATATTACCAACGTTAAATGCCATTGAAGAAGCTGATCGTTATCGAAAAAGAAAACAACAACGTATTGCTCAGGTTAAATTTTGAAAAATAAAAATTAAATTTTTTTTTTTGAATTTAATAGTAAATGTTTATTATAGTTATCATATGATGATGATTATGAAACAGAAGAAAACGTTCTTCTTTTTGAAACAACTTATGCATCACTAATTGCTCGTATTGCTGCCGGATTTTTTGGTCAATTATTATTTTATCCAGTAGAAACAATTGTACATCGTCTTCATGTACAAGGTGTTCGTGCTATTATTGATAATACTGATACTGGTGTTGGAGTATTACCTATAAATTCATCAATTTATTATACAGATTTTTGGTCTTGTTTGAAATCAATCGAAGAAAGTGAAGGTAGTGCTGGTTTATACAAAGGTATTGGATGTGTTCTACTTAAATTTTCATTACTTTATGGTGGCATGTTATTGGCACATGGTGTTGCTAAAAGATTTGTTATTGATAATAAATCTTCGTCGGATCCTGTAACTACAACATCAAACTGGAATAGAGAACCAACAACTACAATGACAACTAAGAGTGACAATGGTAGTTGGTCATAATATTTAGTTTGCTTTTTTCGACCAATTTAAACAAATGCGAACCAATTAATTTGAAGCCTCGCAGTTATTTCAAAAAATTTTTTTCTTTTGAATGATATGGAAAACATATAAAACTATGTATCAATTCAAATACTATTATTTTCATTTGATGATTTGTTTGTATTAGAGTATAATCTAGAACTCCGAAACTTGATTTTGACTTTGACGAAGCTGGAATCGGAGTTGGAATGATTGAGAAAAATTTTTTACGAACATTATGTCAGAGTTACATTAATAAAGCATTGAAATATTTTTACTCTTATTTAGTTAAAAATTCATTCTTCATATATTAACCAGCAAACAAAAAATATACTATTTTGTAGCTTCAGAACAAAAAATGTTTTAAGAAACCAAACAAAAAGAATAAATAAATAGGATATATTGTTTCAAAAACTTTTTATATTATCAGAGTCATTGAAAAATCTTTTGAAATGAATCCATTATTGTTTAGAAATTCTGCAAGTAGACATTTCAGAAAAAAATTGATAGTATTCAGATTGGTTTCTAATCGTTTTTTGGTGAATTATTTCAAATAAATCAAGATTTTTCTGTAAAAATGGCAAATAGTTATTTTTTACAAAATTCAAGCGTATTCTAGTCTTCATAACCGTGTTGTTGGATGTTGAAAAATCTTTCCAGAATTTTTTGAATTTACGCTTCGAAGTCATAAAGTTTGACTCTGTCGTGTACTGAAATGTCTAAAGACCTTCGTAGCAGGTAGACTTGTCAGATTTTGATGCAAAAAAATTGAATAGTCAAGAAAATAAAAGACATACGTTATAGGCAACAAAAAGAGTCAATGAAATAAATCAATATTCTTGGTGTAAGAAGCAAGAAGAAACAACTTTAAGAAATAGAGCAATAACTAAAGTGATCATAATTGAAAAGTTCATGGTTAATACTATACCCAGAAGATAAAGAAAAGTGACCGATTTTTAATTTAAATCCATAAAACTGAAATTAAGATAATTTTAGGGGTATACAAGTATGGATGAAAACAGGATTTTTACCTACATCCATATCCTCGAGTGCTTATAGTTTCTTGAATTCTATCTGGTTATGGTCGATGACTGACTACTTATCTTTTGATTCATGTTTAAAGCAAATTTGAGTTAAGTTTAAAGCTGGATCGTATTTATTAATTTTTTTAAATACTTTTTGTGTCATTTTTCATTGAGTCTATTGTTGACCGAATACATCAACCAATAGATGCGAATACAAAAAGATGAAAATTATAATAAGGATCAGTTACAGTTTATCTTTTTAGTTAAGAAAATAAATTAGTTGTGATTTAGTTATATTTCAATGCCACAAATCACATTTAAAAAATAGACAATCGATATAGTGAATTTTATTTTTGGTCTATTTCTATTGACAAAATTTGAATGTTCAGTCGTCAATTCCAATAAATAATGTCAGCTGTACCAAAATCATGCCTAGCCGAAGTTATTGTCATTTATTTTGGTCTATAGAGACCATCGATTCATATGATCATTATCTTCTCGATTGTCACGCAGATGTGCTCATTCATTATTAACAATACAATTGATGAATTCATCTGAGAATGCACTTTATCAAGCATTGAAAATTCAAGCTATGTCATCTCAAAATTACTTACTTTAGAACACACATTTGCTACACACTAATCGTCTTGAAAATCATAAATATCATATCAAAAAGATGGAGAATTTTCCAAAATGATCAAGTATTATTGACAAAACACAAAATGAAATGTTTTAGTGACCTACAAAATCGTGAAACAATCCTTAGAAATTTTTTTTCTATTTTCTAAAGAAAACGATTTTTGACATAGATTATATAAAATATGAATTACGTTTTGTCATTGTTGAATATAATAGAAAAAAATGGTTATTCGAATGAACTCATATGTTTTCAAGTTCATAAAAAGATTAAAATAGTTTTATAGGCATTTGTAATACGAGTCGAATCGAAAGCAAAATAACTATGAATAGTTTTTCATTCAATCAGTTATTTAAGTTCTTTCACCGAAATAAAAATTTTAGCAATACTTAATGTGACTAGTTTTATTCTTTCATATGAAGTTATCTAGAGGAAAAACTCCTCTTCCTGAACAGAAAAGGTATTCTAGCCTCTTTGATTGATCAATAGAATTTCTAATTCAAAATAATATGTACTTGAAGAGAAGTTCTGTAGTTGTATATAGAATTTTTTTGATCGAATTTCATTTTAATATTATATTGGTATTGATAGTAAAGACGCTAGTATTAGAATATTAACTCTAAATTTATTTATTTCATTTACAATGGGTATCACAATGATTCAATAAGGTTTATTTTCGTTTTGTTTTGCAGCACTAAGCGCTAAAAAGAGTTCAAATAATCATTCGAATGGAGAAAATTGTTTCCAAAATGAATATAACTAAATAAATATTATTATCAGGTTCCCAAAGACAAGGACTTTAAAAAACCAAAATTGTAGATTTATTTTCTATTGAACAAATCAGTTTTTGACTTTTAATCAAACCGTTGTATCTCAACCAGAAAATGTTACATAGTAATGGGCTATGTTTCATGTTGTAGAAGATGGTATACTCTATCGTTTTATGTAGTCTAAAACATTTATATTAAACTGGTTCTAGATGTTAAAAAAGTAAGATTTCGATTTTCTTACATTCATATGTTTGAGAATCTGATAGTAAGTTTTATTTCTTTATATTCTTGTTGGAAACCATTTTCTCTATTCGAATCACTATTTGAACTCTTTCTGATATTTATCGCAGTAGCAAATAATTGAACACAAATCTTGTTAAATAATTTCGGTATCCACTTTATATCAAAGAAGAACAAACTGATTTCTTAATTCCTAGTGATTTCTACCAGTGGAAATCAGTTTTTATCTGTTCATTGTGAATCAATAAGAAATTATTAAGTGATTTCTAATCATTTCTCACACTGAAATCTGTTTGTTTCCCGTACTGTATATTGAATTCTCATTAATGTGCGATGCAATTGTTATTGACGCAAACTGTAATCAGAGAATCTATTATTTATAACAAAGAATTATCAATTTCTGTAATGATAACGAATAAAAATGAATAATGATATTCATTGATTATAAGTTTTGTTTAAATATAAATTGTTCTTTTGTGTAAAATCGAATGAATACTTCTTTTTTTTTTGTTTTATGAAGAATACATTTATTATATTATGCAATTAATATAGGTCAGTTTTCTCTTACTTCTTGAAAAAAAACTTATATACATAGTACAGATTGTAAAAAGAAGGTCATGTATACAAACAGATTTAAAATAACAAAAAATAAAAGTAAAAAAAAAAAAAAAAACAAAAAAGAATACTTGTTTTTTTTTGTCTATTTATCAAAAAACTATTAAATATATTATCGTATTAAACTGTATTATAATCAATGTTTTTTACTATCTCCATTTTTATGTGAATGTGAAGTACGATGCTTATCATCACTTGAAGATGAACGACGTCGTTTTGAACTTGGTTTATGATTTTTAGATAATGGAGAACGATCACGTTTTCGACGACGATCACCACCACTACTACTTCGATCTCTGATAATTAGAAAAAAGGATAGTACATAGAAAAAATTTGAATAATTTATTTTGTTTAAAAAAAATTACGTTGATGATCTTCGACCATAAGATGGTGAATGTCGTCGTCGATGACCACGTCGTGAATCATCCCGATTACGTGATTTTGATCGATCTCGTTCATTACCATTTCCATTTCCCATCTATAGTTTTAATATGAGGATGTCAATCACAAAATCAAAATTAATCGACTTACACGTTCATCACCACCTATGTATCGACCACGTCGTCCATTTTGTCCTGGTGTTGTTTTAGTAAATTCAACAATTAATCGACGACCACGATGACTGCGACCATGTTCTTTTCGTTGAGCACGCTATAATAAACATATAAAAAAAAAAAAAAAAACTTAGAATGAACGAAAATATGAAAATTTTATTTTTTAATTCGAAACTACGAAATATTACGAAAAGACATTTTTAAAAAAATTAAACAAAAAATAAATAAGATCTGTACCGTTAAAATTTCATCGACGAAGGAACGTTTCGGATGATGCATCATGGAATGAGAAGGAGAAATGAGGAAGGAAGAGGAGGAAGAGGCTGCATATTCGACTGATCCACGATGATGAAAGTAGATCGGAGACGACATATCACTTACCGACATGCCAAACGAAGTTAATTAATAACAATCAAAACAAAACAAAAATAAAATGCAAGATATTACTCTATTAAATTAGTTGTAATTACCAATCACCCTAAAGTCTTCGATAATGAACAATCAAGTCAATGTAAAATACCTCGGCATCTTTACTGGATTCGAATGCAACAAAACCGAATGCTACAGAATATGCTAGCAATTAATACAAATTAGATATATTCTATAAATATTTCAAAAAAGTTTTTTTTTTTGTATTTTACCTGAAATGCCGAATTTAACTTCACATCGATTAACCTTTCCATATTGTTCAAAAATTTCTTTTATCTCTTGTGATTTTGTATCTGGGTCAAGATTACCGATGTATAACTCTTTTGATGACATTATTATTTTTTTTCTTTTTTGTATGCAAATATAAATATAAAAAATAATGACAATGGAACAGATACACTTGAGTGAGCAAGCAATCGAAAAGATGCAATGTTTTACTCTCTTGTCGTTGTCCTGGAGAGAGCGAGAAAGGAAAGAAGGAGGAACGCACCGTAATACTTTCAAGCAATCTAATTCTCTTTCGTTTGATAGGTGGAGGTTCACACATGTTGTATATGGCATCTTTTCTAAGTTATATTTATTAATTGTTAAATGAATACCGAACAACTAAAAATAAATAGAGTTGAGTTTTATAGAATAATTTTATTTTTTACTGAAAAGCCTCATTATTATTTCATTATTGGATCATTGAAAATAAATAAACTAAATAGAT